GAGAAAAACTGACCCTTATACAAAATACAAAACCCAGCCTAAAACAGATTGTAGTCCTAAGTGAAAAACTTAAAACTAACATCTAGAATAAAACTTATAGGAAATTTGGCTAGAATTCTTATAAAGGAGACACAAAGCACAAATTATAAGAGGGAAAAAAAGACTCTCTGATAATTGGACTTTCAAATCTAATGATACTTAAGGGAAAATGGCAAGCCAGAAACTGGGAGAAAACCTTCAACAGAGCACATGTACAACAAAAGACGTTCATTCAGCATATGTGAAGAACTTTTGCAACTCAGTAAGACAGAACAATAAGAAATGTGCAGAAGGTCTTCACAAGAGAAGATGGATAGTGGCCAACATAAACACACAGAGACGTTCAGTATCTTTACTCCTCAGGGACAAATAAATAACAACCAAAATAAGATACCACATATCCACAGAATGACTAAAATTAAAAAGATGGACAACATCAAATGTCAAGGCGTGAAGCTCTTCTCTAAGAGCACAAACACCTTGAAAACACCTTGTCAGCTTTTTATAAAATCTCAGACACACTACCACATAGGTCCAGCAATTTCACATCTATTTACTCACCCAGAGAAATAAAAACATATATCCACATGGTATCTTGAACAGGATTTTTCATGGCAGTTGATTATACTAGCCCCAAACTGGAAAAAATCCAAAATATCCACCAACTGATAAGTAAATACACTGTGATATAACCATGCAGTGGAACACCACTTAGCAAACAAACCACTTAAGCAACAACACAGTTTAGTCTTTGGAACACAAGACTGGCCCAAAGAAGCCAGAAACAAGAGGATGTGCTATATAATTCTATGTGCACAAAATCCTAGGGTTGGCATAGACAACTTCAAAACCTGAGGATAGTAGCAGATACAAAAGTATACACATCTGTCAAAATGTATCAAATTGGATTCATTTTCAACCAGCAAACTGTACCTCAGTAAAGCTTTCAAGGACAAGCCACAGCAGGCAAGGTGGGTGAGAAGGAATGGAATGAAAGCATCCAGAGATTCTCGTATTGTCCAGGAATGAGGTTCTCCTCTTGCACCTGCTTCCCAAGATCCTGGGATGGGTGGCAGGGGCTGGCCTCTGACACAAAAGGTGAGACCATGTGCATGAGCAGGCCTGGTGGGCCTGGCCACTTCCCAGGCAGGAGCAAAGAGCCTGCTTGTGCCGAGGCAGCTCTGGCCACACCTTGGTGTCCCCCTCTGAAGGACTCCCTTTCCTGCCACAGGATCACACCCAGGCATGGAAATCAGGCCCAGAGGTGGGGAATGTGGGCTAAACCTGTTCTTCCAGGTGCCCATGAAAAATGCGACCCAATGGCAGCGGGATACCTAGCACTGAGGGGCAGCGGGAGGCAGAGATTCAGCCCAGATTTCTTGAAGGCTGGGCTGCTTGGTGTCTGTATGGGTGGTTTCCCAGATGACATAGCTGATGAAAGGGGACTCAAAGCTGAGTGGCTTCCTTCTTGGGAACGGGGGTGTCTGGAAGTATTGATGAGATGCAAGAAAGATACCTACCCCACCTCCAGACCTATCTGGACAAGAGTTGAGGACAGACAACAGCAGGGCTCCAGGTATCCTGGGTGAAAGCCAGGCTCTTAAAGCAAGACATAAAGAACTGGTCCTGGAAGGCGCTGCTGAGACACGGACTCCAGGGGACAAGTCCTTAAGAGATGATGCCAGAAGAGGAGATGCGACAAGCTCTTTGGAGGTTAGCCTGAGAGCTGACTGGAGCCTAAGGAGACTTCAGGGAGGAGGGGCATGCCCTGTCCTGATGATGGGGCAGGAGGGCTGGACTCTCCAAGCCGGGTTGCAGAGTGCCCACTGACTTCCTGCAGCACAGGGCTCCAGTCACCTGTGGGTCAGGGCCTTCAGAGAGGGGCCATCTTGCTACAAGTGCAGGGACTCCCTGTTGGCTTGGGATGCCTGTAGGAAAGTTGACAATTTTTTCACAACGGATTTTTTAAATGACTTCATGAGGTTGGAATAATGTGTGTAAACAGAACTAAACCTAGCCCTATGAAATCTTGTGTCTGAATGATGACAATAGCAATTATATAAACTTGAATTAAACTTTTAAAAACAAAATATCTGCAGATTCAGCATGAACCTCAGTGTTAGACCTCCTTCCCATCCATGCTTCATCTAGAAAGGTAACAGTTTAAAAAAGTTTAAAAAAATCCCAAAGTTATAATTTCAAAAAGGAAAAATGTCCACATCTTGTCTTCTTCTGCAAGTTAGAGGTAGTAGAGACGATTTGACAGTGACAGGTTTGGCTCTCAGGTTTGTGTATACTCTGACCGACAAGGAACTGCTATTGAAAACAAACTTTTCATTTGACTCTGAGAGAACCAGACATGTCACTGTTTGTAAAGTCTAATTTCAGAAGGAGAGAACTGATAAAATTCCTGTGGGCTTTGGGGAATACATGCAAAATTACTATGGAGAAAGTTTCGGTGAATGGCGCATTTTTGGATTTTGAGAAAAAAAATCCTGTGATGCATTTTTGTAGAACATCACACCAAACCCATGGTCCCCTCAGGACTGCTAGGTGCCAGGTCAGCCTGAGCTCAAGAAGGCAGAGTCTGAGGCCAGCTTGCAGAAGTCAGACCCTGCGGTGCGGCTGTCCCATCTTAAGAATGAAATCCGCATCTCACTGCGTTTCGCTTTGTTCTTTGCGAGTGCTGCCATGAATTCCCTGAGTGCGCTAGTTTTCCTAGGGCCAAGCAGAATTGCCCCTTTTTCCCGAAGTTGCTTCACCCTGAGTGCAGCAGATACCCACGGCATTTCTCTGGCCATTCCACCTTCTGGCTGCAGCACATCCATCTCTGGAGATGTGCTCCCAGCGCCAGAAGAGCCTGACCTCCCATCCCACAACACTCCAAGGCATGTCACGTGTGAGTCAGGCCACCTATCAGAGCAGATCATCCCTCAGGTTCAAACTGTGCAGACAGCCCAATCTGGCAGTGCCCATGGCAGGCACATGTCCTCTTCACAGGGGTTAGGATGAGACCCAGACCTGTGCAGGAAGCCAACCTGATGAAAACCAAAAGCAACAGCATGACCAAGACAGATATTCACTAGACCCTATACACCTTTTCAACTCCCTGGCAACTCACCTGGAATGTGTTTAACGGACTGTTCATCTGGCCTTTCCCCTAAGGGTTCTGATTCCTAGATCTGGTTTGGAATCCAGTCATCTGTGTTATTACAAACCAAACCAGGCAGCCTAACAGGTGAGAGGAGCATGATCTAGGAGGGTGAGAAGGTCAGTCGGCACCTCTCCTTTCAGGCTTAACATCATTTGAGCAGGTTTTCTGTCCCTTGTAACTTAATCTTTATGGATATAGCGAGGGTCTCTGGACAACTGCAACTTTTCCAGAATTACCACATTTACTTACTAATTTTTCCTGGTTCTAAAAATATTAAGTCTTTTAACTTTAAGGAGCTTAAAATCTGCTAAGAAGGAGCTTTTACTGACTTATATTATGACTAGCCACAAGAACCCATAAATAAAAGTTCACACTGTGTGATGACACTTCCTTCTATTCCTAGATGCTGTGACAACCTTCAGCAACTTCCATCATCACAATGTTTGTCTCTGGCATTCTTCCATGCTGCTTTTCTTCCTGGAAATTGAACAGGTCAAGGAACCCAGGCCACTAGCCCAGAGCCATGTTCACAGCAATTATCAGCTCCAAGGACTAAAAGGAAAACAAAATGGCTTCATTTATGACATGTTAACAAGGCCAGATCCATGAAGGTTCACACAATGAGAGGAGGACAGTGGTGGGAAGACAAGGAACTTTATTGACTCGCATTTGTCTAAAGCACAGCTCCAGGGGATCCGCGGTTCATCACCGGTGCTTATAGTCGTCACATGTGCAAGCGATGTTGACAGCGGTTCTCACGACTTACGATAATTAACTTTGGCCCGTTCTGTGCACGAGTTCCTGAAAATGCCTACACATATGTAAATGTAAAGAACTACATTTACCAACTTCACAGTAACAAAGACTGCCTAATCTCCACGTCCTTACAAGCCAGGGGAACTCGCTCTCACACCACAAATCTTGCAGCTGGCGGCATTTCCTAAAAGACTTTTACTCTGACATTCAAGTTCATAAGTAACACTAACTTAGCCTTTCTAAGTGGAACTGTATCCTTCTTGTACTCTTCCGCAGTTTTAAAAATTAAATGGAAAGAAAATGCACATATTTTCAGTAAAAAGAAGAGCTACAGTGTTATTCAAACAAGGTGATAATCACTTCAATTTTATTTTGTAACAAATAGAATGATGTCCCAGTTGCAAAACAAAATACATAGCAATGTAAATATAGAGATTTATTTACTACTGGCCTCTTTTGCTAAAGAGTCTTAAAATGGTTCTTTGGACAGAAATGTAAAACTTGTCAACTACCTTTTTTAAATCCCCATGCCACCTAGCCCTAATCCTCGTGAGTGGGCTATCAAATGGGGCTTTTCTCTCTCAGCTGTGGATATCTGAGTCAAACTCCACCTGCGTCTATGAGGAGCATTCTACTTCAGGCCTTTTTGTGCCTTTAAATTCAAAACAGATATTGCAACAACAAAGTTAATATAGGTTTACAAGTAGGACATGCTCACTCCTCAAAGTACTTTCAAGTAAATCCCCAAAACATTTCAAATCTTTAAGAGAGTCTGTTTGGAATGCAAAGTACTTTATCCACATTTTTTCAAAACAAACAAACAAAGAATCTGCACAACATACTTATGAGAAACAAACAAGATAAAATATAGAATCTTAATTTTTACCCAAAACACAGGAAAGCCCATGAACCCCAGTGTTAGAAGTCCAACTCTAGACCTCCTTCCCGTCCATGCTTCATCTAAAAAGGTAACAGTTTTAAAAAGCTTAAAAAATCCCAAAGTTATAATTTCAAAAAGGAAGAACATCCACATCTTGTCTTCTTCTGCAGGTTAGAGGTAGTAGAGACGATTTGACAGTGACAGGTTTGGCTCTCTGTGTATACTCTGACCGACAAGGAAAGCCAGCTTGTGGGCATACTGGCAAGGAGCCGGCACGCGAATGACACCCTTTAGTGGAAGGAAAAAGGTTCTATTACTCCAGATTAAGCTTCTTTAAATCGTAAATCTCAGTATTAACTATACAAGCCTTTTAAGCCATAGCAATTTCACTTTGAAAAGTGAACAAACATCAGCAGAGACAAGTACTCACTGGCCAGTTGTAGTAGATGTGGCAAAGCTTGTACGTCAACCGCTGGATGTGGTCTGGCTTGAGGCCGCTGCTGTCGTAGATGACATTATAATGTGTGGGAGAAACACTACCACTCCTCACAGCCTGGCTCACGATAAAAAAGTCATACCTGGAATAACAAAAAATGTGGGGCTAAGGATTATCTTTCTAAAAGCTAAAATTAAGGTGATTCGAGTAGCTGGTACAGAAAAAGCGCATGTACTGCTGTGACCTTATATCCTGAGAGGTAAGTGCTTCCTTGAAGACCAGACACATGTCGTTCATGATCCATGTGGGACTGTGTATACGTGAGCGATCCTTATTATGAGACCCTTATTTAGAGTTTAAATATTGGCTGCAAGGCCCTCAGAACAGAACCACACATCTGACACGGCTGCCGATGGCTATGGCAGACACGGCTACCTCCACGTCCGAGAGACATGTCTGGACCATCACAGACACCAGCCAAGCAGGAGCTGGGTGGATGTGAGCGAATCTAGGACCAGGGACTGGTATTCTCCAAATTTGTTTTTACCACAGAACCTTTTCCCCTCTTGCTGTGCCCATTGCTATTTAACAAAAATATAGTTCACTAATTTTAATCCCTAAGGATTTAAAGCAAATCTGTCAGAGCAAGGGAACATGGAGGAACATAAAGAGAAGCAGCCCAGGACCAAGCGGAAGAACAGGACCAAGCCACCTCTCCCCTAATCCCGACACCAAGACCCTGGGATGCTCCAGGATCCGATAAAAAAAATGGCACAGCATTTGCACATAATCTACGTACACTTTCCTGTACGCTTTAAGTCATTTTAGATTCCAGTATCTAATACAATGAAAATGCTCTGTAAATAGTTATCTTAGCGTATTGCTTAAGGGATAAAGACAAGAGACAGGGCCGTATGTGTTCAGTACAGATGCAATTTTTTCCCAATATTTTCGACTGGAGGTTGGGCAAATCAGTGGTTGTGGAACCCACAGACATGAGGGCTGCCTGTAGGACAAAATGAAGGAATATAAAACGCTTGGGCTTTCTCATGTCCTTGGGTCCAATAAAACATCAATTTGACCTGACGAAGACATCAGGAAATTAACTCTGCAATTTATTATGTCCACTGAATCTAGCCAAGTTAGAAAATCAGAATTAAAATCTAACAGACTCTACAGTTATTTTTTAGAAGAATGAGGGGCTCACACATGTTAAATGGTCTATCCAAAAAAGAACAGCAAAGTCACAAGACAGCTAGAATCAAAACCTTAGTTCCCACTTGAAGCATACAGCATTCCAAGTGCTGGCAGTTAAAAATGACTTTGGTATTCATTAAGAGTGGACTTCTAAGCCAGGCTCGGTGGCTCAGCCTGTAATCCTGTGCCTTTGGGAGGCTGAGGTGAGTGGATTGCCTGAGCCCGCGGGTTCGAGACCCGCCTGGGCAGCAAGACCTCATCTCTACAATAAATCAAAAAATCAGCTAGGTGTGGTAGCGCATGCCTGTAATTCCGACTACTCGGAAGGCTGAGGCGGAAGGATCGCTGGAGCCCAGCAGGTCGAGGCTGCGGTGGCTGGAAGTGGCCACTGCACTCCAGTCTGGGCGACAGAGTAAGACTCCAACTCAAAAAAAAAAAAAAAAAAAAGAGTGGACTTCTCCAAGTGTTTGAACAGCTGTTAAGTTTTTAATAATATCTAGTAAAAAGTAATGACCTTTTTGTACTTCATAATTTAAAAACTTGGATTTTATTCAATTTGTTCAAGGCAGTTACTGGTTTCAGGTCAACAGTGCATCCGAGTGGCAGTGATATCAGAGTGTGGCAAGGGATCACTCTGAATGACTGAGGGGAGTCCTGCCTCTGCTGTGTTAATATCGTAGCCTTGTCTGTCTTCCTTGCCCATTTTCCCCAATAGGAGATTGTATACTTCAAAATAAAAAGTTCTATCCACTGTCAGATAACAGAGCTGACTAGATAGAACTAAGATCTATATTCTATTATCATTTGTTCACATGAAGTTAGTATGGTCATGCCTCATTTACCCAAGGTTCATATGTGAACAGTAGTCCAGATAGAAACTTTGTACATCGGCTGACATATCATCTGATTCAAGCTGCCTTATCTACAAAGGCTTAAACTCTGTCATCCAAGAACAGAAGTCCCCCTGACTGCTCACTCTTGTGAGGAGGCATCAGTTTAGACAGGCCAAGGGCCACATCATGCCCGTGCCCACTGCACCACACACCTCCCAACACCGAAGGGCTTTGAGGAACTCACCAAAGATGATCGAGTTTCATGACTTTGCCAGGGAGCCCTCATGTGCTACTGAGACCATGGCCTGTGCCTGTCAGTGCCACCTAAGTCCCAGCTGGCTGACTTTTTGCTCTCTCATGGTGGAGTGGAGCTCTGGTTACACACAAAAGCTCTGTGTGGCCAGAAGTCACTTTTCTATCTGTAGCTGCATCTCAGAGCAAACTTTTTGACCTTCGGATAACTGAGCACATTGCAGATTTAAACATTTTTACTGAAAAAAATAATCACCTGTAGGAGCGGCAATATATGTAAGGAAAATAAAAGCAATCTGCAGCACCACTGCTTAACCTCTTATGTGTAGTTACCACCACAGAAAAAAAATCTTCTTCTCCTAAGGGAGAGGTGCTCCTAGAAACCTCAGCTCCCAGTTCTAGATGTTGAGAAGTCAGGAGCGTTAGTAATAATGGCAGATCTAATTCTTTAAAGCATTTAGTGTTCATAAGAAATATAAGAACTAAAAAGTAAGATGTATCAGAGTGATAAAGCAAAGGGGCCATGCTCTACACAAGGAAGAAGACAGTAATGGCCTCATGCAGTCACAGGGACTCACCATTCGGGTCTTGTAACCTCCACATCGATGACTGTTCCAGGAAGTGGATTCTGAAGTCTTCCTCCAGACTGAGCAAAAAATCTGGCATTCACTCGTTTCTTCACCACAATTACTGTCAGTCTTGGGCTTACGAATGACAATGAATGTAACAACAGTTAGTCCATCATATTTTTGGAACAACACCATCTGACATTCATCTACTCCATTAAAAAGGGACACAGCTCTTTTGGGGCACACCATCTGCCCATACTGTGGAGGAAGGATGAGAATCTTCCTCTTGACTGGAGTAAAGACCAGGGACAAATGGTGGAAAAGCAAATAGTACATACCGTACTATTTGCAAAGCAAATAAAATGTGCATACACATTTTAAGAGATGTTCACCATCATAAGTGTCTGCATGCTGATGGAAACCACTCTGAGCACCTCTTGTAACTGCAGAAGCCAAATGTGACATATTCATATACTGTTACTGGTATGCATTGAGTATGAAAATTTTATTACTGTTTTTTTTTCCTTTCTTAAAAAGGTATACATTTTTTGGCACCCTCTGTATATGCCCTGTGCCACCCGTCTCGTAGATGGTTTATCCATAGTCCAAACTTATCACATCCCTGTCATACCAAAATGTTAAATCCAGCATGTTTTCAAACTTCACAAGTTAAAGCACTCTTCAGGTGGGCCTTTTCTACTGTGTGGACGATACAATATTAACTCTAAAACCCTTGCAAGCTAAGCTGGTTTAAGCATTCCCTGTGTAGGTCAGTGCTTTTTACTGGTTTGCTGTCCATGGGGGTACACACACACACACACACACACACACACACACACACACACACACACACACACTGATGCACCTTCTCAGGAGGAAGAGTTTGATTTTTGTGACTGACATTCCTGCAGAACCTGGAATGGCCCCCCTACGCCTCAGCCGGCCGCCAGTTGGATGCCAGAAGACCTCGCAGTCACTCTCCACCTGATCCTCCAGGGCTCTATTTCCCTGTGCACCTTCAGTTCTCCACCCAGAAGACCCACTGCCCTCCTCTGTGCCCTCTGCCCGCTGCCCCTCCCGAGAACAGCCCTGGCCTCAGCAGCATATGGTCTGTTTAAGGACCTTCCTCCCAACAAGGGTTCATTTCAAATCCATTTGACACCGGCACACCTGAGCACACACAATCCATCTGGGAAATGCGTAAATGGAAGCAGGTGAAGAGCCGAGCAGTGTGCCAGGCAGGGGGCGCCAGACAAGTGTCATGACTGATCCACGACAGTGCCACTTCCCTACGAGTGTGGATGCACGTGGTTCCAGACACAACAGGTGGAAGGCTCTCCCCAGAGCAGGGCCTAAGTTAAGTAGGGAAGTCAGATCACAGTGCAATGTCTGGACAAACGGTCAAAAGGCCCCAAGCTGGGAACTTCTGTTGAATGACAAGCCTAACTGAGCGTCATCACAGCAGCAGTGACAATATCTAGAGGGGACGGGAAAGTGACTTTACTGCAGTCAAAAGAGGACAGAGTTTAAGAACTCTGTCTATCACATTGCCCTACTCCCGCTCTGAATTCAATGAAGGTGCAGTAAAGGTGTTGAAAACCTCAGAGCCCTTCATTTCAAATGCCTTTTGCCACTTAGAGAGACTAAGTTTAGAGTATGGTCCACGATTATGGTGCTCGTTGGAAAGTGATTATGATTCAGGACTTAACTAGAGCATCTAAAATAAGACTCTGTCTCAGGAACAGACAGATGTAAGGAGGGTCATTTTAATCCTCCAATATCACAAGAAACAACTGAGCAAAGGAGGTAACAGAAAGACAAGTCATAAAAAATATGCTGAAGTGACTTTCTGGTTCATTCTTATATCCAGTCAGCTAGCCCATGATGCATCTCTATAGAAGGTGAATTTCAACATTTCAGTTTAAAAGCAAATATTGTGGTTCTAAGAGTAGGTACAAATGCTTAAGTCCAAACTTTGTATTTCTTAAAAGTGAGCACTAATTCTTAAATATTTCACTTTTATATACAACTTCAAGCTCTTTCTGGAAGAACGATCTACCACGTATTTATTGAGTGCCTGCTGGATACTGTGTGAAGTGCAATACACATGTTTTCATTTATTCCTCATCACCTTGGTTCATTGTTTCTCCTATTCCACAAATGGTCAAGTTGAGAGGACTGAGCTCTGACTTCACGACAGTTGCTCTTGGCGCTAATCTTTACCACCGCCAAATACCAGCACAGTCCACAGTGTGAAGCCGCTTCAGGCAACGTTCTAGGAATTAAATGCAAAGGACTTGAAGAACTTGAGAGGCAGACTCCAGCAAGGCCAAGGGCATGTCCTCCTGGCAAACTAACACAGCAGCTAGAGGGAACAAAATGAACTCGCACTGCTCAACCACCACTCTTCACCTCTTAAAATTTTCTACGCTCTGGGTATGAGAAAAAAAAATCAGTGAAGTTCCGAAGATGCTGAGTGCTCACGTAGGAACCGTCAGGAGGGAAGACTGAAGCAGCAGCAGCCCTGTCCGTGCTGCCACATCTCACCTTCCCCACAGACAGGAAGTCGAAGGCAGGGAAAAATACAGGGCAAGGCCCACAGGACCTTAAAGCTGGAAGAGCAAATACCATCATGCCAGTGAGAAAATATAAGCATTGAGAGTTTTCTGGGGACAGGAAAGAATGTCAACTTTCATTTCCAAAATATTTTTAAAGTGCTTTTTAGCCTTTCTGCAGTCAAAAGAGGACATTTTAAGAGTGATGCCAAATTATTTCAAAAAGATAAAAAAACACTACTGACTTGCTCTGAGAACGTCATGACATAATATCTCATTTGAAGAAATGTCTGGGATAAAAACTTTTGGTGGATTTTTTCAAATCTGGCCAAAGATGACCTGGACGTATCCTACAAGCGGTTAGCTTGAAATCAGAAACAAGCTCTTGATGTTGACTTATCCTTTCCCCTTTCACCACATAAAATCAAACCAAGCTCCAGATGTGGTCAACGGCTTTCAAAATCCTTCCTTTCTATAATGATGCAAAACAAAAGGCTTGGTAGAAATAAAATCAGTGTTTACTGTGCAAAAGTGAGCATGTACAAACAGGCTTCCAAGATCTTCCAAATAGCTTAACAATCAAATCTACAAGTCTTCAATGGATTATGCACTTAAGCCCGAATCCAACAGTCTCTGACCTCAAACTGCTCACAGATCTGACCAAGAGAAGCAGGAAAAGTTATATGATGCAATGGATTAAGCAGCACTCTTGAAATGGCATGCATTTCACTGACCACTGGTGCTGATGGAAATGTCAGAGGAAGGCAGAAACCAATATAGGTTTCAGATGTAGAAGGCACTCTCCTTGGCCATCCATACCACCCAGGAGAAAGCAGGCCCATTTCCCCAGTACAAGACTTGACGCCCATCAATCCCTTAGTGGCCAAGTGCCAGTCATGCCCCGAGAAAGCGAAGCGAATATTCAGGAAGGTAAGACTATCTTGGAATGTTTATCCCCATCACCAACTCTGTGGCTGCTGGTGGACAGACGGACCAATCATCAGATGCCTGCGCCCAAGGCTTTGTGAGGAGGAGAAGACGATGGGCATGGGCCCTCCCCCAGCCTGCCCCCTCACTAAGTCCCCACCAGAGATGTCCCCTGGACCCTCCCATGGCCTCAAAAGCCCTGCGGTCCCTGCCAGGCTAGGCTCTCACTTACCTTTTCATCCCTGACGCTCATTTCAAAGAAAAAAAGGTGCATATTTATAAACAGACAATGCCCTGCAATGCACAAGCTCACCTGTAGCCTCTCCCCATGGACTTCAGGCAGTCCAGGAGCTGCGGCACCTCATAGCTCACCAGCGTCTTGAGCTGCCCGTCCCCCACGCCGTCCCGGTACACGATGATCCGGCTCGGCATGTACTCGTTGCAGCTGTTCCAAGCCCGCAGGGCAGCTGGAAGCAAGCCAGGAGGGGCTACATGAATTCACGCAGCCACACGTGTGTGTGTGTGGCCCAAATCCTGGGCACGCTTTTCAGCAATTTCTTAAAGACCTCAGTGCAGAGACCAAGATGGAAACGCCATGGGAGACCGACCTTGCAGGCAGACCTTGAGCCCGTCCACCAGCTCCTGTCCTCTGTCTTGAAATATGCAGCGGGAGAACCAGCTGTTCAGAGAAAATGCCACTGGGTGAGACACAGCTGTCTACAGTCCTCTCCTCTCTGAAGTGTTCTGTATTTATTTCACTTTTGGCAATCTGTCATCTTTGCAACTCCCTTTAAAGACACCCGCTAACATCTTCAAATACTTTAGGAAATCTTAAGTAAACAGAAGATACGGTAAATCCCTTATCAACATCCCAAACTAAACTTTCTTTTACTTATAAGATAATACTTTGATTCCACCTGCTGGGAGAAAATGAAATGTAAACCCTAATACTCAGTGGTGTGTCCAGGTGTACACCAAAGCGTGCAAAGTGGAAGCCATTTGTTGTAGACGTCATCCTGCTACAGACAGAAGGCCCTTGAAACGTGCCCATCACTAATGCTCGCAACTAACAGACCCTCCATGCTCACTGCCTCCTGTCCTGACAATTCCCGTAGCTCCAGGAAAGGCACTGGCAGTAACTGTACTATGCTCAAGGACAAGTGATTGCGTCTACCGAAGAGTGAAAACCTGAAACTGCATTTCAGGGGCCAAGAAAAATGATAAAACACAGAGAGGTGTTAAGAAATAGTCACAATTCTAACACAAACTATAAAAATCCCTGAGGTGCAGTCTGACAACCACAGAAGGAAGGCCAGTCTGAAGAGATAGGGAAGGATTATTTTCCATTCCTAAGTGTTTTGCTGAAAATAATGGAGAACCCGGAGATCAGAGGTAAAGTGTTAACCCCGCTCCTAGGCCTCCCGACCCCCAGGCGCCAGCCCCTGCTTCGTGCCCTCCCTTGCCTTTGTCTCACCATCACCCACAGCTGCCCAGTCCCACTCACCGGGTCATCCCTTCATTGATGCTGGCAACAAATCCGGCAATTGACCTCCGTCCAGCTGTGGTGTCATGGTAACAGTCAATGCCAACTATCATTGCGAGTTTCAGCTTTAATACAGATATGGTGATTTTAGATACAGCAGAGCACTCACAACATTTAAAAAGAAAATTCATTTTCCTAGGCACTGATTTTAAAATGGAATCTACCAATTGAATCAAACTCACTGGCATGTCCACCCTCCACAGCTCTCCTCCCATCTTGCAGTTCATCTGCAGGGCGATCTTGGTGGCAATGGCCATGACAGTGTGCTGTTTGCTTAAGGTCCGAGCCACCACACACTGGCTGGGGGTGGGGCAATCCGTGCATAAGTATTTCTTAATGGCATCGTATTTGTCCTTCCGATTACTTGACAACAGACAAACAACCTAAAAACAAACAAAATGCCCTCATTACAAAGAATCGGGACACTGTGATTACATTTGAGGGAGAGGACAGGAAGTCAGGCTCACTTGAGGGGTACACATGTCAAATCCATCACCATCATTTTACTACTCATTTCTGACAGACAGCTAGGGGCATGGCAGTAGGACACACTGTGCATTCTAGTCAACTAAATGGCAGATGCTCAGAAAAGTATCATGTTGGGTAAATCATACAACTCAAACATGAATACTGCACGTACCTGAGAATTTAGGGGGGTCTGCTCCAGTGACCCGCTTGGAAGAATTTAGAGACAGGAAGTAGGGTGGTGTGACTTAGCGATAACTCACAGGTGGACAAGTGAAACCTTTTTCACAGTTTGACTTTACCCATGACTTACCCAGGCTTGTGATGTCTAAACTTTAAAGTTCTGGCCTGAAAATTTGATCAAACTATGCACTTTCCTACAAAGTCCATGGACACTTTTGGGGGAGAATTGGAGTGCTTAGACCCAATTCTGGGGATGCAAGCTTAAGTATTTGGAGTAGAACTCCGTGCTTGGCTTACGGAGCTGTTTTCTAACGCATCTCCCTAGATCCTGACCTTTCTTGTCTATGGCCTCCAACAAGATCACTCTCCCACCTAGAGTGTGTTCTTAATTCCTGCAACGTAACAGTTACCGGCCTAGGGTGGCATCTAAGTATGGATGAAAGGGCTACAAAAACAAACAGCTAGATGAAGCCAGTGTGCTCCTTAGGCTGTAAGTCACAAAGGCATGTTACCATTAAATCTGTCTTGGCCAACTCATAACGACATGGCCTCCCAGGAGCTAATGGCGACATCTTGAGGGGTAGAGAAGCACCTCCTAGCACGTGCATTCCTCCCGCAACTGGGCGTCCTTTTCAGAGTGCTCGGCATGGCCTCGAAATGTACGCGGCTGATGCATAAGTCCAGAGCGTTTGTCTTTGACATGGCAACACTGTGGTGCGGGGAGTTTGTCATTCGGAGTGAAAAGGTTGTCTTTGTGAAAGCACCTTATGTTTTGCAGATTTGAAGAAACTTAGTGTTCTTTGTGGGCTGAAGAAGGTGGAGAATCAAGTGGAAAAAAACGAACGCCTCCAACAGCCCCTCCTGTTTGAGTGTAACAGAGAAGCACAGGCAGGGGAGGCAGCTCAAAATGCTGGTGCCACGGACCGGGAGAGTGCCATCGGGCTCAGCTGGCAAGGAAATGGCTCCATCAGTTCAGAGGGCCACTCTGACCTGAGGGATTCATCACATTCAGGAAGACCGTTGGGCTTTAATAAAGACTCTTTAAAACAGCAAAAAACGCTATGAACCTATGCATCAGCCCGACACTGATGTTAGCCCGACATTAAAATTTAACTTTTAAAAGCACCCAAAGACACAGATGCCCAATAGCAGACCCCAGTGAGGGAGCTAGACGACCTGTTACCCGTCCACCTGCAGATCGAACCCTCTTCCCTCCTGCTTTATCTTCTCTCTCCCACAGTCCCAGGTGATGCTGTCCTTACCACTCACATGGTGACCGCATACTGTCATTCGGCCACTGACAGTGCACATGCTCCCTCAGCCAATCTGTGGCAATCTTATCCTACGGGTATAAAGAGCAGCAGAAACTTGTGGAACCACTATGTGGCAGCCACTGCGGCCCCAGGGTACAAACGGATAGACAGAAGGGCAAGTGACGATGCCCAGCCAGCTGCCCCTCTTCTGGAAGCCCAGCTCTACTGAGAACGGCGGGGAGCTGACATACTTGTCCTGGAGATTTCATTGGGCGGGTCCCAACAAACTAGACTGGACAAGTCGAGGGGCTTGAACAAGACACCCCTCCACCCCTCATTCCTCCCCAGGGCGAGCAGCAGCAAGAACCTTGAAGGGGAATGAAGACAGACCCTGGGTGGAAAGCGGGGGTGGCGGGGAAGGTGGGGAAGGGACAGCAGCAGAGCGTGGAGGAAGGCTTCCAGAGTCCTGCATCTGCTTCTGTAGAACAGATCACCAGGCGCTATTCTCCCTTTAGTTTCTCCCACAGGGGACCAGGAAGTCCTGGGGCCGCAACTCAAGGTTCCTGGGCACAGACTGACTGCCAAGGAGAGTCTGTCCTCAATGTGCCTAGGATCCGGGTGACTCCCAGGTCCCTCACACTGAGTCCATGACTCCTTTTGGCTACATGACGCTAGGTGTGAGGACTGAGGAAAGCTAAGGCACTGGACCTCATGCTTACAAAGCTCATTCTGGATGCAAATTCAAGACCAACAGGGAAACCGCAGCGTATCAGCCTTGCTAGGATTCCAGGGCTGGAAAGAGCGCTGAAAAAGAGAGCCACCTTGCTGGAAATTTTAAAAGCTGAAAACTTTGCTAGAAAACTCACAGACAGCTGGGCTCGGTGGCTCAGTCTGTAATCCTGCGCTTTGGGAGGCCGAGGTGAGTGGACTGCCTAAGCCCACAGGTTTGAGACCCGCCCGGGCAACTTGGCGAGACCTCATCTCTACAATAAAGCAAAAATTAGCCGGGCGTGGTAGCGCGCGCCTGTAGTTCCAGCTCCTTGGAAGGCTGAGGCGGAAGGATCACAGGAGTCCAGCAGGTCGAGGCTGCGGTGGCCGGGAGCAGCCACTGCACTCCACTCTGGGCAACAGAGTGAGACTCCAACTCAAAAAAAAAAAAAAAAAAAGAAATAGAAAAGAAAACTCACAGATAAGATTGAGAAAAGTGTGTCTGGGGTGTACTTAGGGGTCCATGCATGGGAGCGAGGGGACAGCAGGGACAAGGTCCAAGGCCTGCTGGCTGTGGGTAAGCCCAGTATGCAGTCACACACCAATGTTCAGGCCTGTAGTACAAAGGCACTGTTCTCAGTGCTGGGCATACGACATCAACAAAGCCGATGCCCCTGCACTTGAACACGGCACCCTAGAGGGACCAACGAAGTTTCCAACTGAGAATTCACACAAAGCTGGATAAACAGTGAAATCAAGAAGTACCTGACAACCTAAAAAACTAGTCTGAGAAGAGTAGGGTAATTTTCCTTTCAATAATAATTTTCAAAAAATACTGGGATGGAAAAAAATGAAGTGATTTCATCTGGCGAGTCCCAACAAACTAGATGGAATTTTAAGACTGGCCAGGTTTACTCAGTGATGAAGTGAACTCAGGCTGATGAGCATGAGGAGCTGGCAGGCACCACCAGCAGCAACTCACACCCAGTGGGCCATCAGTGAGGCACTAGGCGTGACAATGCCACAACCAGTCAGAGGCGCTGTGAGGGTGCACTCTGACAATGCCACTACCAGTCAGAGGCGCTGTGAGGGTGCACTCTTTTATCACCACCCAGTGTTCTCAGATCAGGAAACAAAACCAAAAGCACTTGCCAAAGACCATGCAAATGGCTGAGCCAGGACGGGAAGCCAGGGACCCGAATTCAGAGTTCACACTCCTAATGACTGCTATGAATGAAAATACAAACAGACAAAAACTTGCCCCAAATGGCCCAAATTTCAGATCACAGATAAAAACCATCCACCGAAAGCAGCTGCCACAGCCTACTCTCCTCTTGTCCTCGGCATCTCCCCCAGCGCACACTAGGCAAGGGACTCCCCAACAGAAACACCCCCCCACCCCATGCTGCCCTTCAGCTTCCCCAAGCCATCACATGCATAATGGGTGGGACATTCCAAGACAAGTGGCAAGGGAGCGTGGGAGGGTGGTTCCAGCCAGCTTCCAAGCTCTTGAGGCAACCTGATGCACTCTGAAGTTTGTAAACTTCTGAGTTTCCCCAAGAACCCTGTCCCTCCACAGATCTCGCACTAGACTGTCTAGAGCAGGGGTGGCCAGTCTTTGGCTTCCCTGGGCTGCATTGAGAAAAGAGGAAGTGTCTTGGGTCACACATAAATTATATAATAGAGTTAGTGTATATACGTGATAAGATTTCTTTTTGAGAACAAATAAAAACCAGTGGGAAATTTGACCTTGTTTTTATAAACCTGATCTATTAAGGTCTGGTTTGACGGAAGTGGACACGATTCTTGGCTCTCAAGGTGCTGGTCAGAAATGCTCTTTGCATGCTTCATCATCGAAAACAGTGCTCACAAATGCGTGTGCTGCCAAAAAGCAATGTCACGAATAAGGCATGCTTGTGAACTTCAAACACGGAGCTATGCATGGGGTCATGATGAAAATAAATGCTAAGAAACACATGATGCTAAAAGAGAATATGGGGGCCGCATGACTAGCTGTTCTGGGCCACATGTGGCCCAGTGAGCCGTGGGTTGGACATGCCTGGTCTAGATGTTTCTATTTGATTATGCAATTATACATGTATATGTGCTCAACAGGAGCTGGTTTTTCCTTTTGTGCCTTTTTGTATTTCCCAATTTTCTAGAATAGTCTTTGAAAAGACCGAAAATGGCTTTTTCTCCACCCCTACCCTGCCTTTTGCACAGCTGACAAGCTCCCAGGCACAACTCAAATTAGCATTAGTTTACCTGCTTTACAGATGCAAAATCTACTTTGTGGCTAGTTTAGGAACCTAATAACATTTGGAAAGTGCACTCAAAGTTCCAAGATTTACAAACGCCCCCTTTTGAAAGGCGCATTCATTGAAAACTGCCCAGGCATTGATTCACTCCTTACTATCTGGGTATCCGATGTAACCTTCTGCTGTAAGACTCTTAGATAGGCTTCGGTCCTATCATCCACTTCGATCCTAGAACAGAAATGCAGAATCCAACATTCAGAAAAAGTCGTGACCTGCGTCCCATGCATCAAAACTTCCTGTATGGTACAAGAAACATTCGCAGAACCTGGACCCAGACACCAAGAACAGCCATTCAGGCAAAGGGCTGTTTTTAACATAAACAATGGCAACAGTGTAAGCATACCTGTCGGAGAAACAGCCCTATTTCATCTTTTCTCCCACCCATTCTTAGTCATTGACATTTCTTTGTTTATCTGCATTATGGAGAGCCCTATGGCATCTTTAAACAAAGAGCATGTAGCCCCTGTTCTTAACAGTCCCATTACTTCTGGGTTCCCCCACCTGGCAAATGAATGCTAATGAATTTTCAGAGTACAAGTGACTTGCCAAGCTTACATTATTGCTTTTTTCATTTGTATGCCCATGGCTGGTGTGACTTTAAACAGATTCTGTATCAGTGCATTGGCTGCTTCGTAGTTTCTTCGGGTATAGATCAGCAGCCAGTTATCCAGCGGCCTCACACTAATCAGTGGCGCCCCTCTCGTCTCTTTGGACCAGTCTGCAAATTGTGGATTGTAATCAAACTAGAAGAAAGTTCAGAAACACTGTAAATTCCATTGCAAGTTCTCAGTGATCCAGGCAACAAGTCTTCAATGGCTCTCCTATGGCCTAATTTGAAACTTAGTGTACTACTTTTATATTTGAACTATTAGTGACAGACAAAATGCCTTCAGTGGGGGAAAAAGACACAGATGCGTACCCAGAGGATGACGCAAGCTACAGAGACACCCTTCACTCTGACAGCAGCTGCACAGTGTCACTTGGAGCAGCACTGCCCCAAGCACTCGGGCTGCACACGCCTTCATCTTTCCTAATATCTTACAAGGATTGTTAGTATCTTCTTCATGAAGATATAAAAAAATAAGACTCTGAAAGTTCTTGACTGAAGCATGAGATGCTGAAAGCGAGCTGCAAAGCACCTCACACGAGGCAGGAAGTGACCGCAGACTCGAAGCACTGCGGCGGGTCATCACAGAGCAGAACCCGGAATCTTCCACATGGGCCTCCCCCCACCCTGACCAGCCTTATATGGGGGATAGATTTGTATTCTAAAGGTGGCAATAAAAGCAACTGAAGTAAAAATATTAAACTACACTGCTACTCACAGAACATTTGTAACTTTTTAAAAAATGTGGCACTTATAGTGCTTTAATTATACTAGAAACATTTTTAAAATACCTACTTTTTCTTTCCTGAAGATGAAATATAAAAGGCATCCTAGTATTTAATATGTTATCTCTACAAACATGGTCCGGGCAGAAATGGAACCAATCAAATAGAGCGTTTTCCATGTGAAAGATCATGTTAGGGGCAGTCAAAACAGCAACCCAATCAGACAGTTAGAATCTTCTAGGCCTTAATGTGGGCAACTCGGGTCATTGAAGGAAACCGAAGCCACACTCCAGTCATGTCTTACAGAGCACCGGGAGGACCAAGCCACACACACCATGTCCTCCAGAACTTCACATTTTCCCTCCTGGAGTGGACCCATTTCTGTAACCCTGAGCTGCTCCCAGAGTCAGGGAGAGTACAAGAGAGGAAGAGAAAGGTGATGAAAGGACCGTTCTGGCCCCAGCTGGGTGGTTCCCAATGTTCTATTGTGTCCTGACCCAATGCTCACTTGACTGCCAACTTTACAAATGGCCTTACTGTTTTTCCACCTTGGTGAATCTTCTCTGCTTGCAAAATTCTTCCAGAGAAGGACAGTAAGTTGGAGTCGAAGCTCAGACCCCAGTCTCGAAGCTCCCTCTGGACATTATCATCTCTGCAAATGTAACATATTGACATACCACTCAACTTAGAGGAAGACAGTAGAAATTAACAGGCAAGTTCCACTAAAGATCCACTCCAGCCCACACAAGCTTCCCTGCTTTTCTCAGGACTGAGAACCCAGCGAGAGTGCCAGGAAACCCAGGTGTGTCATCAGTTTTCTCTTATCACATCTATGCTTCTCTTCATGGAGTTCTTTAACTTAAAATTCTGATGCCCAAACTATCTCCCCCTCAAAGTAAACCCTTTGATATAACAAAGGTAGAAAACAGATTTGTCCAAAAACTTTTCCGTCCTGTTCCCTTTTTCTAATAGAAGAAGGAAAAAGACCACTAGCGATAAAATCTAACTTGATTATTTTCCGAGGAATAAGCAAGGTAGCCTCACTCAGAAACAAGAACAAGCCCACCCCCAGTACTGCAAACACACAAGGGAAGAGCTACTTTCTCTCACGTCTCCCAGAATTCATCCCAGAAACCCACAGGAAATTAGGCTGAAGCCAGGCTGCAGTGAAATGGGTGGCTTACCTATGAATGTAATCAATGAGCTTCCCCACTTCACGCTGCCTCTGTTCTGGCGTTAACCTCGTATGGATGGCCAAGTCTTTCATCACATTGAAATCATTACGCATTTTATTAGTCAGACCTTGAAACGAAACATTTGAAGGCATAAAGTCAGAGAAGAAATCACCAAGTCTAAACAGTCCTTGGAGTACCAGCTGGGGACGCATGAAAGGAATCTCAGAAGCACGAGGAGGTTTTAATAAAAGGGCTTTGGGGAGTGAGGAAGGGCAGACGGGCATCAAGGACTTCTAGAGAAGAGTGGGTGGATCACTGGGTGGCCTCCTCCCAAGAGAACAAAGCCCCCCATACCTGTGAGATAGCAGAGCTCAGGGATGAGCATAGCAGGCCCTGGCAAGGTGCCCCCTGGGCCTCTTCTCCTCTTTGGCTGGCTGACCAGGACCGGCTGCTTCAAGTCGGTGATCTCTTGGTTGTATTGCTGCTCGAGAGAGGAGAGAGCCACTGTTCACAGCAAGCACCTCGGGGGACAGCGCAGTGGGCAAGAAAGTTCTGCTGGTTGGTTTTTTAGTAAAGAATAGATGCCAACAGAAGACCAGTCACAGCCTCCCAGTCAAGTCTGACCAAATGCACTTTTCAATCTTCCTAAAACAAGTTCTAATTTATATCCTCTAATGAATACCTCACCTTTTCCCTAAAAACTTAGATGGTCAAGGAAAGGAAAGTTCTGAATCTTGACTTTTAGTCTATGTGCTTAATTTTCTTATTTCTTGGTTTAGAAACAGTAATCTGTGCAACTCTGCATCTTCACCACAGCATGATTCTTCTAAAACTACTCATGCTATAGTGAGAACTTACTAATGAAAACAGTCTCACTATAAGAATAAGGAACTAGGCACAGTAGCTCACGCCTATAATTCCAGCACTTTGGGAGGCCAAGGCCAGAGGGCTGCTTGAGCCCAGGAGTTTGAGGCTGCAGTATAACAGCACCACTGTGCTCCAGCCTGGGTAACAGAGACCCTGTCTCTAAATAATAATAATAAATAAGGGAGGAGATGAGGTTCCTATGCTACAGGACACTTTTAATCAGGACAAGTTTTTAAGTCTTCATATTTTCAAGGAGCCAAATCTCAATTAAGTAGTATTACGATTCCCCATATGCACATGCTGCCTGAAATAAGCTTTTATAACTTGTAAAACAAAAAATAATGACATCCATGATTCGACGTCCTCAAGAGATGAGCTTGCTGGCCTCCGGCTCAGCTGCACTATTCTAGAACCATGACAGGCTTCTCCTGAGTGATCACTAGGCTTCCGGCCCAGTGTCCTAAAGACCCTCTTTCCTATCATCTGTATCCTGCTGACAGCAAATCTTTTTAAAAACCTGTTTCGTGCACATGCAGCATCATTAAAGAATAATCTCATGTCTCTACTGAGCACACTAGAGGATAATCACAGTCATCTCCATAGTCTCAGTGTCTCATCAACAGACTTGGGTACCTGCATGCTTCTTATTCCTGTCATATGACAAGGCCCTGTCCACCTGGGACAACCCTCGTAAACTAAGAAACCACACATTCTAACCGGTCCTCAACTTTGTCCTGTATTAAATCAACCATCCAGGAAAAGAGTTAACTTTCTTATTTCAGATCATGAAATGTCAAGTAGGGCACACATGTGACCACACTTGGAGAAGCATGGCATTCACCCAAAGGCTATAAATGCACAGCTCCTGATACAGATGGGACCCATCACTTCTATATTCTTCAGGGCCTAAACAGCAAACTTGTCGATTCTTTTACCATTTTCCCCTCCATCTAAGAAAACAGCACTCTCGCTTCTGTTTACCTGTTAAAACTTCTCTTTCTAAAACCAATTGACCATGACCTTCCCTTCCAACGACCCTTCTCTCTTCTGCTCTGTTTCCTAGAAGTTCTCTGCAACCCCAAACCATTGCTTACTACAAAACTGCATTCCTTAGGACTTCCGCCCCATCCCCCCGCCATCATTTCTCCGAAAGACACCTGACTATCCCTAACTTTGAGAGAAATCTTCCCTACAGGGAGACTCTGAGCTGGGAGCTGAAGCAGAAGGGCCGGCTGCAAGGTTGCAGAGTGTCCAGAGGGACAGCACGGGCCAAGCCCTGTGGTTAGCACAGAGATCCATCCAGAGGACGAGCCACAAGGATAGAGGGGGAGGCAGGAGTGGCTCAATCCAAATGAAATGCAGGAGCAACGCTGGGAAGTCACCTCATTTCTTTGGGTAGAAGATGATGTCAGATTCGTACAAGTTTGAAAACGCATCACAAAGCAGGAGAAATGCGGGTGAGGCACAGCGGTCATGTTTGTAATTCCAGCACTTTAAAAGGCCAAGGTGGAAGGATTGCTTGAGGCCAGGAGTTCAAGACCAGCCTAGGCAAAAGAGTGAGAGCTCCCTCTACACAAAAGGTAAAAAATGAGCTGGTCATGGTGGTGCACACCTGTAGTCCCAGCTATTCCTGAGGCTAAGGTGGGAGAATCACTTGAGCCCAAGAGTTCAAGGCTGCAGCGAGCTATGATCACAGCACAGCAATCCAGCCTAGGCGACAGGGTGAGTTCCCGTTTCTAAAAAATAAAGATAGAGCAGAAGAAATGCTTACTGTACTAAGAGATTAGTTCAACGAATGAGAAATATGGGGCCAGCGCAGAAGATGATATTCACTTAGAAAAGGAAAGAAAATGAAGATATTTCAGATAAGGCCGAGCGATAGGACTTGACGATGAGTTATAGAAGGTGAGAAAGAGGCATGCGGTCTAAAGCTGAACTCTCCTTCATGAGGCTGAATTCTCCATCATTCCTTTAATCCTTTTTTAAATAACCATTTTCATTTAATTTCACTTTTGTAAAGATGAGGCCTCACCATGTTGCCCCGGCTGGTCTCAAATCCCTGAGCTCAGGCAATCCTCCCACCCCAGCCTCCCAAAGTTTTGTGGTAACAGGCATGAGCCACGGCACCTGGCCTCACTCATTGTTTTCTAATACCTGTGCCTACTCAGGCACTGAGGGTGTATCACTTGGGAACCTCTGGCCTTTGTGGAAGCTGCACCCCACGTTGATCAAGAGTGTTGACCAAGGGCCAGCCAGGGTAGGGAAATATCGACACTCAACGCTGGTGGCCGGTGAGGGATCTCAGAGTCATCCCAGGACTTAGAACGGGGGCAGCTGAGCTGAGGCACGTCTGGGCTGCAGCTAGTACCTGGGATTCACGGACATATCATCGGAAGCCCAGGCCAGGAGGTGGGGGAGCAGCGGGAGAGTAGGCCTTCCATCACGGGAACTCGAGGCAGAGCCTATGAGGATGCCAACTCGTTAACAAACCCAACCAGTGTTCCCAGGACATGAAGCCTGCATGCAGTTCAATACAGTCAGGGCAGAAGGTCCTCCCTGGCCATACTCCCAGTCCAAATCCATTTCCAACAGGTGTTTTCTTTACACTCGTTGCTGACATACACTGACCCCTCCCAACCGACTCTGATGATTAAAATCAGCCCAGAAGTGCCACCACTCCTTCCTTACAGTGACTCTGACGCCCAGAGGCATCCAGGCGAGGCAAGGCTGGAGGCCTGAGCGCAGAGAGGTGGAAACGGGAGGAGAAGCCTGCTGAGGTGGCCCTGGCCTGTCGGCATCCCGCCAGGACTACGCTCCATCCTTCAGCACCTCCTCGGGAGCCCCGCTTCAGGAGCAGAGCAGCTGAAGAGCAGCAGACATCACCAAGGCCACTTGGAGGACACAGACTTGCTCCACAATACATATGCAATGCCTCATTAACCCAGGCTTTTAGAAATAGGCAATCATCTACTAAAAGTAGGAAAGAATGAGATAACTTGTACTTCAGAGGCAAGTTTTAAGATGTCAATGGACAGTTTTCTAGAAATAACTTACCTGCACTTTTAACAGCACCTATCACATGAGCATGACCATCTGAGGACGTCAGGGCCAGAGCTGCTCATCTCTGGACCCTAAAACAACGTCAGCATGCATTCCGCAGAGGCGTTTCCTTCCTTCTAGTCAGGAGCTGCTCTTTCTTGCTCCTACTCGTCTCTGGGGATCTTTTCAATTTGGTGATAATTGTGCCCCAAACTAGAATCTGTATAAAACTATATTAGCCAACTAGGCAATAAGCTGGTCTAAGCAATGCAAACTCAACGAGCCTGTCTGAATTTGGTCAGTATACAAATCCAAGATTAAGAGTTTACCCTCACAACTGACACTGAAGCTTCAAAGAGTTTTAATTCCCACCCCCACACGTGAAATGAAGCAAATGTTGATTCTATAAGGACGTACAGCCTGGAAGCTGCTAACTCAAATTGCCTCCTATTATCCAACGTGCTACCAAAAAGAGGCATTTTAATAATATGAGTTATTAAAGGAGTTGAAATCAATTGTGCTGTAATTTCCCTGATATGCACTTTTATGTACAGCTTTAAAAGCAGCGTGTTCCAAATGAGTGTTGGAAGGTGAGGATAGCTCCAATTTCCACTGAGACCAACACCCAGCGGCGCCCTACCTTTCTGTAGTACTCCAGGAAGCTGATCTCCGAGCCGTCAGCCTTCTTGAAGGTGCTCCTCGGACTCTGGTCCCAGTCAATGTCATCTACTCGGTACGTTTTGTTGTTGTACCTATAGATCGATGGAGATTTGACTGCATTTGATAGAAATATGGGATACTTATATTAAAGAGAGACTAGACAGCACATACTCCCTGAAATTCCAAATCACCTGGTTACATACAATGTTACAGAAAAAGGGACAAGAATTTCTTACCGATGATGCCAGATGCATGAATGAAGTGACTAAGTTACTAACAGAAAATCATTAAAAAGCATAAGAATCATTAGATATTTGTCCTTTCCGGATGAAATATGTTCCCCTTAATCTTAATCTTTAATCTTGGGAAAAGACAAATATCCCTCTCCCTTTTTGTGTGGTGTTCCCCCCATTCACCTTAAACACTATTTTCTTTCTAACATTACAGGACTAGAAAGCCACAATATTTTAAGACTTGCAAAAGGATCACTTTGCATTTTAAAAAGCAGTCTTACTTGGTAAGAACAATTAAACCTATTAGTTCTTTAGAAACTTGTTCTTGAAATTTTTCTTCGTCTGTTTGATGATAAAAGTTGAACATGAAATCCAGGACAGTCTCACTGCGGAGGACTTTATGGCTGACATCGGTGCACAGCATGATGTTGTTTTCATACTGAAGAATAGAAGTAGTGAACCCAGGCCAGATCACCAGCCTGCCAAACAGAAGGGAACCCATGAAGCAGCCTCAAGAATACCCACATGCCAAACTGCTTTTCATCTTTTTTTTTTTTTTGAGTTGGAGTCTCACTCATGCACACTCACAGCCACCCCAGCGTCGACCTGCTAGGCTCCAGCAATTCTTCCACCTCAGCCTTCCAAGTAGCCAGAACTTAGGCGCGTGCTACCGTGCCTGGCTAATTTTCTATTTGTTGTAGAGACGAGGCCTCACCAAGTTGCCCGGGCTGGTCTCAAACCCATAGGTTCAGGGCATTCATTCGCCTTGGCCTCCCCAAGTGTTGGGATCACAGGTTGAGTCACCGAGCCTGGCCTGCTTTTCATCTTTATTAACCAGGTCTCAAGTACAAAGGTTTTGAATGAGCCAATTTACATATTTCTAGGTTTTATGTGGTTCCAGATAAAAACTCGTCTTTTAAGACTTTCATCAACATTATAGTAATTTTATAAGTTGCATTTTATATGAATATACTGACTTTATTCAACTCTTTGTTCCACTGGCCTAAGCCCTGAAAAGTTGTTGGCCTAATTGAAAGCACCTGCAATTATCAAAAAGAACCTAAGCCACTTGGGCTCAGTCTTGACATACTACATGAACTGATGAACTGTTACTTGAGAGCAAAATACACACATGGCATTGAAGAATTATGTACTCTTCCCCAGTGACAGATAAATTATGTGTACTTTCAGCCCAAGTCTTCCTGGATGTGTCATTATCCAAGCTAAGTTAAATGTTCACTTACTGTGATGGGTACCATTAACCGTCACTGTAGTAAATCTGATCATTTCAAATCTTAAAGCATCACTTTCAAAGTCTGTGATCAAGTCTAAGAAATATGAAACTCCCCACTTCATACAAACCTATGATTTGGAATATCAATTGGGTCACTTGGGTTATAATAATTTCGTCCAATCTGTTGCAAATTCATGATTTTTAAAAGCCTGGAAATGGAAAGGTCAGAATAATTAGAGAAACGAATACTAATAAGTGTCTCTAACACTGCCATCAGAATGGCATGCCTTTACAGCAGAGGTTGGCAACCTAGGGTCTGTGGCCAGGTCAAATTCAGATTACCTACTGTTTTCTTATGGCCTCTGAGCTAAGAACGGTTTTCAAATTTTTTAAAGGTCGTTAAAAATCAAGAGACTATGCCATGACACATGAGTTATATGAAATTCTAATTCCAGTGTCTATCAATAGTTAGTGGAACACAGCCAGAACCGTTCATTGACATATCGCCCATGGTTGTTCTGTGCAGCAGAGTTGAACGGCTGCAACAGAGACCACAGGACTCGCAAAGGCAGAAATGTTGACTACCTGGCCCTTTGCAGAGAAAAGTCTGCCAAACCCTCATTTAGAGAGAAATACATTTACCAATTACATTAACTCATAGCAAGTAACTATCAGAATGAATAGGCCCATCATCAGTGACAGCTATCCCGTGACAAGTTAGAGAGGTAAATTACAAATTCAAATATTATGCCCCATTATTCCCATGTAAATTTCAGCCTCATCCACACTGCTCATTTCTCTAAAAAAAAAAAAAACCTGGGAGAACATGTATCTTGATTTTGGATTTGGAAAATGTGGCATGTCCATTGAGAGCAAATGATCAAACATTCAGTGTGTCTCTGTCTCCTGCTCCTGGAGCAAGTATTCTCAACAGCCCTAACCCTACCCCTCTTCCTGATCAAGTACCCACCATGGGGGGAGGAATAAAAATTTAGTGATAACGTTTCTGAGGATGTGTGTACTATTAACACAAGCCCAAATAATATTTGAAAGACCTGAGGTCAGTACAAATAGGGAAGTGGAAGGCAGAATACTTGCTTAAAGCAATAAGTGAACCTCCCATCAGTAAACCACACCTTAAGTGATGACAATACAGAGAAATGTGAGGGTCCTAACCAAGGGGCACAATCTGGTAGTAACGCAGGTATTCAAAGTACACTTCTTCCAGCTGTTCCATGTGAAATTTTTAATAAAATATTGAAAAAAGCACACACCTCCTGAAAATAATGTTATAGAATTGCAGACACGTTGGCGATGTGGGAGGGAGCTCATTTGTCAAGGTGATAGTTATCCTTACGTGCTCGCCGTTTCGGGTCTGGCTGAACACTTCAGTAACCTGAAGCCAGAGAGGTAGGAAACCAAACTCTTAATTCTTAAAGGAAAACGAAGCCCAATCACATACTGCCTGAAAAGTACAGAAACTTTTTAAAGGGAATTTTTTTAAAAGGTTATGAGAAGAGAGTGACTAAGTGCCTGTATTATGACTGAACTATAACCATTAGATTACTCAGGTATATTTGATAATGATATGACACAGAAAGTCCCTAACATACAAACGAGTTCCACTAAGAGTTCATATGTTAAGTCCCATTTGTTTTTTTTGTTTTTGAGTTGGAGTCTCACTCTGTCGCCCAGACTGGAGTGCAGTGGCTGCTGCCAGTCACTGCAGCCTCGACCTGCTGGGCTCCGGTGATCCTTCCGCCTCATCCTTCCAAGTAGCTGGAACTACAGGCGCGCACTACCACGCCCGGCTCATTTTTATTTATTGTAGAGATGAGGTCTTGCCAAGTGGCCCAGGCGGGTCTTGAACCTGCGGGCTCAGGTAATCCACTCACCTCAGCCTCCCAAGGCACGGGATTACAGGTTGAGCCACCGAGCCCAGCTCCAATTTGTTTTTAAGTCCAGCAAAGTTAGCCTGGGTAACCAACTAACACAATCGCCTATATAGTACTGTATGTATTTAACAGGTGAAACTGACACTTGGTGGAGATAAATAATACATTTTAAAAAGGTGTGCATCCTTAAAGTTTGTTAACTTGAAGATTTGTATGTAGGGAACTTACTGTAATGCCACAGTAGCCTTCGGGTTTATTACAAGTCATATCTGGCAGGAGACCCCTGGGGTCACTTTAAAAGCCATTTGAACTACCCTATACTGTGGTAGTTTTGCTTTGAAGTGGAAATCCCCACACCCTGCTCCCCATCCAGACATCTGAAATAACCTTGTTCTGTAGTCTTTTAGGCAAAAATAATATTGTTCCATCAAAAGCATGACACCTTCCAAGGAGATCTTCATGTTGAAAAAGAAGAGCTGAACGGAGTCTCCTGGCTTCCATCAGTGGGTTATAGTCAATGTGGTACTGATATAAGGCCCACTGGGGACGGGACGTCAACCGGAAATGGTTAGTACTTAATTTTACTATAATGCCTGAAGAACCTGGAAAAGCCACAATTAACAAAATATCAAGTTTATTCTCCCTTGAACTCTCTCCTACCATGACAAGGCAGGTGAAGTTCTGTAAACACAAGGCTAAGAGCAAAGACAACATGAAAACCCTCAAACATCTGACTCGGGGGACAAGAACACTGTCTATTCAGACAATTTCCTAAAGAATCATACATTTAGAAGCAAATCCTCCTCAGACTAGTTTACAACAAAACCAAACCACAGTATGGCAAAGAGTTTTACTTCCTCAGCAATACTTACTGAGACAACCTTTCAAAATGTGCACTTACAAACACCTATCGCTTATTTTATCAAAACCAAGAAAGAAAAAAATGGAAAAGCCGGTGGGATCCTTGACCAGATGTGCCTTTTCTTCCTAGTAATGTGTCACATAAATAAATATGTGAAATCAAGGGCCTCAACTCACTGTCCTGTGTACCTGAAAGGCCATCTCATGCAACTGTACTCTTAATTAACCTACCTGTCTTTGATTCCTTAACATGGTCTAGGTTCTGTCTTGTATTTACACCAAGATCATGAAAATCTCTACGACGACCTCCCCTTTCTGATAATGATAACTCGTGAAATCCAGCAGATATCTGGGGTTCTGAAAAAGAAAATTATATACCTGGGTGACACAAAACATGGAAAAAAATGACAATATTAATTCCCCCAGTTCTGATATGGCGGGAGGGGCTCAGCCAGCCATACTGAACCAAGTCTGAGTCTTTTTTTTTTTTAGCAGCAACAACAAACATTTATTGAATATGTATGATGAATTCCACCTTTTGCTAATTTAGTTGCTCCCACTTGTAACCGAGAAAGTCTTAAAGAGTACAATACCATTGCAAAAATATCTGAGAAGGGAGATAATGTGCCTAGGGAAACAAAATTAAAATAAAGATTACAATAAGACAACAGTGAAAGGTCATAAAAGACTATAACTACATCATGTGCAAATTTTGCCTAGATCTTCTCTGTATTTATGGCACGCCATGGCTATATTTACAGCCCAATGAGGAAGGCCTTGATGGATTGGATACTAAACTGATGCAGGCTTGGGGAACTGTCAGAGACTAAACAAGGTATATATCTGACAGCCTTCTGAGTAGTTAAAATTAGAACCTAAATCTACTTTCTCATTAAGAATCAAGCCTGAGTCTTAACGATGGAAGTCACTGGCTCACCACAAGGAACACAGGATCTGAGAGCCCAGTTCTCTTTTGACCACAAACACCAGCACTAACCCAGCACTGCCTGCGTTCCAGACTTATTCACTGGATAGAGAACAGTGGCTTCAACAAAGCACTTCAGGTCCTGATATACTTTAGAAACAAGTTATTGAATGGGCCCGTCAATATCTTAATCTACAGAAATTGAGGATAAATTTCACAGGCATGCAGTAAGTTTAAATATCATTTATGAAGTGCTTTAAGAGGTGCTACAGTGCCGGTTTCTGTACCTCATGCTTTGCAGGAGCCCTCATGAGAAAATCCTTGAAACACGTTCAGTAACATCATGTCTGTCTCCCTCAGTGAGCTTTCGATCCTGGAAGCTTTCTGTTTAAAGTCTTTGTGGCACTGGGTGAGGAACTACACTAACACAAGTCACACATACGGAATCCGCCCTGATGACAATAGGGGTCATGTTCATAAAGGCTTGACTGAAATGTTTCCCTGAAAATGTTTAATTCGTCTTAAAGTCAGGACTGAACACAAAAGTCCAGCTGACAGTTTCTGAATATAAACTATGATGAAATCTGTTCTCTTCCTACATATAGCACTGCTGCTACTATGTTTAACCAAAGCTTGATTAACCGTCACTCTAAGAAGAGGACAGATTTCAGAATGGATAAGATTGGAAATCTTGTTAACTGTCCCGTCCACGCAGCTGCCAGAGTGATTTTATTGCAAACACAAATCAGACCTCGCCACTGTGCTGTTTAAGAACCCTTCAATGTGTCCACATCACAGAATGCAAACCAAGGCTTAATGTCTCCGTAACAACAAATCTGTCAAACTTGTCATGCTGATTCCCAAAATATAGTAGGTATTTAGACACTGACTGTGACAAGCAGTTCCAGAGATAATCCCTGTAAGAGCAGAAAAGATGACGAAATAGGCCCTCGATGTGCTGTCCCATGCATTATTTAATTTTTACAATGGTCATTACCTCTGAAGGTAGATACTACCCTATGCTGCTTTTATTACAGCTAGGGCACAGGGTTTCACAGAATTAAATTTGAAATCATGAGAAACTGTGGGTTTTTTTGTTTTTGCTTTTGTTTAACAAAAGTCATGATTAGTGAAGATGCATGCATGCAATGTTTAAGAAATTAGATGTAAGTATCTCCCACAACTGTATTTGTAATTTTAAAGCTGCACTATAAGGAAATGTCTCTTAAACAGCTGCAGCACAAATTTTTGTACCTAGTTTTACTTCAATAATATTTTGCTGTTTATGTTGAACATAGGTGAACAATAAGTTTAAGTTTCAAAAACACTACTCGTTTGACTCTTCAGATGAAGTATTACATATTTTTTCTCAATATTTCTACAGATATGAAAAATACATACATGCACATGTATTTGCTAAAAACAAAGGAAATGCTATTTTACCATGACGCTCATTCACTGCAGTTCAGGCAGGCTCCTGGTTCCTGGAAGTGGCCCACTGGCACCCTACTGTCAGTGGGCAACAGTGTCACCCGACTCTCAGGGGCTGGGCATTTCCAGCTGTTTGGGATTGAGTGCTGTTGTGACTCCCTTTACACAGTCATGTGGGACTCATCCAGTGTCTGCTGGACACACTCTGTGTGTGGAACGGATGACAACAGGCAGTCAGTTGGAATGCACTGCAAATGCCGCGGGCTGCTAGTACAACGGTACAAGGCCATCGGAGTACAAGTGCCAGTGCCACAGTTACCAACACTGGCTCCAACTACAGCACAGAGAAGACACAGGTCTAATGTGTCAGCTTCACTGATGCTTCTTTCGCGATGAGGCTTGACATCTCCAGTGGCCTTTGCACTTCTTCCGTGTGTGACTTCCCTTGCCTTTCTTCACTCTCCCACCAGCCTGCTCACACAATGGACTTAGAAGGATGTGCGAAGACGGGAGGAACATGCTCCTCTGTCATTTCAGTTTGTTTCCACGGCACTGTCTTTTGACATTGATAATATCTGTCATAGTTCAATGTAGACTTCAAGGTTATTCTAGCTTCCATCCAGGTTTTCCCCAAATGTTTACAAATTTCATTAATTGTGGTTAAGTATTTGAAGTACATGGGATTTGATGTAAGGAACAAGTGAACCAGCTTTGCTTTCTAAGCAGCCACTGGCCCAGCACTGTCTGAGCGGCCCATCCCCCGTGCCCACTGCAGAGTGACAACGTCCATGGTATTAGATCCCTTCCCATGTACACACGGGTGCTCCTTTCACTGACTTTCCTACACCAAAACCAAACCTAATAATTATAGGAGGCAGATGAAGAATCCAAATAACTCGCTTTTGTAACAATTCAGTGAAAAACCACAATTTCTGGAATCCAAACTGGTGCTCTGACTTTACCAACTGTCACCACTCTGTCCTCAATTGAGCCAATTCAACACACGTGACAGATAGTACATTTCATCAGTCAAAGTTATGTTAAAGTTGGTTCTGCTTCTGGTGAAACACTGAAGATGTCAAGAAAACGGTCTGTCAATGGCCCACATAACAGTGATGGGGGCCCCAGCTCGTTTCGGTTTTCATTTTCAGGGAGAAAGGAAAGCCTGTGGTGTCCCGCCCTCCGCAGCCGTGAGGTTTGGGAGATGCCGTCCTCCATCAGGCGCCCCTGGGCTCCCGTGTGCAAGGGCAAGAGGAAGCAGCCCCCGCGCCGGGGCCCCTCGCCACACACTCTACCTTGGGACTTGGCTGCTGCTCCCATTGCTCCTCTCTGGCGTCCACAGCCAACTCCTTCCCCCTCTGCTGGAAGCTGGTGTGGTCTCGGCTGAATATAACCCGGCTGCGGATTCTGCGATTACAAGCAAAGGCAGAAGAGTGCTCATTTTATGTCAGGAGGTCACTGATACCAGAGGAAATGACTAGTCTTAAGCAAGTCTCAGGCATTCAGCCAAGACCTCTCTAAATTAGTCATCAGATATTTATTCTTAGGAAGAAATGTGTTTTTGAGATACGGTCTCGCTCAGAGTAGTGGTGTGATCATAGTTCACTGCAGCCTTGACCTCCTGGGCTCAAGCATTCCTACCACTTCCGTCTCCCAAGTAGCTAGGGACAATAGGTACATGCTGCCACACTTGGCCAATATATATATATATATATATATATATATATATATATATACATATATA